CGAAGGCGGCGGCTGCCAGTCCTGCCAACCCCGCCAGTGCGGTGTCAGCCAGCTGCCTGGCACCGCCGGTACCCAGTCTCGCCGCGGGCTGGGCCACAGCCCCTCGGCTGGAGGCGGGTCCTGGTTGGGGACCGGGCTGGCCGCGGCACTGGCGGGGTTGGCAGGACTGGCAGCCGCCGCCTTCGGGCACGTGCAGCGGGCGGAGATGGTGCCCAAGAGCTCGGGGGCGCGAAGCCCCTCGCCTGGACGGCGGGAGGAGGAGGGTGACGAACTGGCCCGCCGCTGCAACGCTTTCATGAGCTCGCCGGTGACCGACCTGCGTGAACTGCGGAAGAGACCCGAGGACATGAAGACCAAGATGGAACTGATGATCATGGATATCCAGGCCCAGGTGTGTCGGGCTTTGGCACAAGTAGACGGAGTCGCTGACTTCTCTGTGGACCGATGGGAGAGGAAGGAAGGTGAGCAGGGCCCTCTTGTCACCTACTGTGGGATGGAGTGCGCGCTAGTTGCAGCTTAGAATTGGGATGGATTAAAATAGTCAATACCCACAGGGGATTGATCTATTAGAAGGGACACCCTCAAGAAGACAGACATTGAGAGAGTTGCTCTGTGCTTGCAGATGTGGACCCAGATGTGGAATGTGTCCAATTTAGGACAGACCATTTCAAAATACTGCCAGTTCAAAGTTGCATTTTCGATAGATTTATTAAAGAACATTTGCAGACACCACACTTGAGCTTGCATGTCCAAACTTCAAAGTTTGTTACTAGACAGATTGTTTTCCCTCCTACATTTCATCTGCCGGTTAGGGTGCATTTATCCCTTGTCCTATAGAGGCAGGAGGAGCACTGATCCTTCATCCCGAGTGTCTACTGAACACCCTGTGTCAAGAATCTCCCTACCTCTTTTTGGGAGTTGCAGAAGGAATTGCATGTCAGACTTCTGGAAGGAAACCATTTCCTTAGAATCCCCAGATAACGACCCAAGCCTGTCGAGTCGTGTATTGGTGACCATGCTGTTCCCTATATATCCCCTGCTCTCTCCTCCCATCTTGAATTTAAACTTGAGGACTGCTGACCTTTTCCCAGCTGGAAGTATAACAGCATATCTTCAATGCATTTTGACTTGTGATATTGTCACATCGATGTTAAGTGAAATTCCATCTCATTTTCATAGTTTTCCATCTTGTTATGTTTTCAAGTGAAGGCCACGACTCAATCTCATATACTATATAACTAGCTTTGGATGTTACTGTTTTCTTCCCATGTTTCATAATTTATGAATTACGTAGAGGCCTTAGAATTTTAGAAACATGGTCAATACTTGAAAAAAAGTATCACCCAAGCCTCCCAACTGTGAGATCTTGGACATGTTGTCCTGCTTCTCTTGAGTTCCAAGAGAATTTGGAACACTTAAGGGTTGTTCTGCATCATCCTTTGACACATACACACTCCTACTGGCTCTTAGAAATAAAGCAGCCCAAACATTAATTCTTGAGAAGCAATGGCTTTTTGGTGACCCTATTGTCTTAAAGAAAAAAAAAATCCTATTAAACAGATATACCTAAATAGTAATATATGTTTTACTCAATCTAAGATTCTAAATTCCTTAAGAGTTTGAATAGGTACATTTTAAAATTATATTTAAAAATTAAAGGTAATAATAGGTTGAGGGAAAAAACACAAAACAATATGGAGTTCTTGTATTCAGTGAATGTAGACTACGGTTCCAATGTGGCACTCCTGCTTGTCACTTTAGTGTTCAATTTGGGGAATAACAAATGGATTCTTTTGAGTGATGTTTGAAGAGAGAGAGTACTTTGGTGAAAGCACAGAAGAAACAGCCATTTTGATGGTTTGTGTCTGGGTCCAATGTTTGCGCTGTTTGTACAGCTTATGACGGAAGTTAGGCTAATCATCGAATGTACTGTGCATTAATATATATGCTATCGATGGTTTTGGAGCTACAGGAGGAACCAACCCTCATGCTGCCACGTTCTTGGGAGAGTTGTATCCCGTTTGATGGTCCCCTGTTCCCTGGTTTTCTGTTCCTATGGACAGGGGGTGGAGGCATCACCTGTGTGCTTCAAGATGGCCGTGTGTTTGAAAAGGCTGGGGTCAACATTTCTGTCGTTCATGGGAATCTCTCGGAGGAAGCAGCAAACCAGATGCGAGGCAGAGGAATGTCTCTGAAGAGGAAGGATGGTAAGTTGGGTAACTCTTCCTGCCAGCGCTTTTCCCAGCAGGTTTACCTAAAAATAGCACTTTTTTTTCTGGAGCACCCATTAGATGGTTATGCCCGGGATATTCACAGGCTTTAATTGTGAAAATTTTATCTTAAGGAACACATTTCAAAGCAACTTACAAGAATGTATTCAGAGATCACAGAGGGTAATATGTGTCAGACCAGGCAATTGAATGCATCTCACTGTTATTTTACCCTCTAGGTAAACTGCCATTTACTGCTATGGGTGTAAGCTCTGTGATTCACCCCAAGAATCCCTATGCACCCACTATGCATTTCAACTACCGATACTTTGAAGTAGAAGAAGCTGATGGTAAGCCTCTCAAGGGTTGTGCGGAATGCCATGGGCAAAGTCTGTATTTTAAAGAAAGTGAAAGGTACCCTATCAAAAAGGGAGAAAGGACAAAATTACTATATATTTTTTAAATAGTATAGAGGCTTAGTCTTGGCAGGATATATAGGACCTGAAACATCAGGATGCTACTGATTCTCTCCTCTAATGTTTTTATGAACCAAAACTTCAATTCTAACATAAAGGTTTTACAAATATAAATTTGTTATTTCTGAAATTGAAAATTTGCCACTGGGGCACACACATAAATATGTGTGCACTATATACATACAGTGCATGAGGACCTACATTGGGATCCCCCCCCCCACCCTCGCCACTCAATTAAAAAGCCAGGAGCTGGGGAGTATAGACAGGATATTTGGAGCCAGTCAGTATAGCTAATTGGTAAGTTCCAGTTCGGTGAGAGACTATGCCTCAAAATAAATAAGATGGTGAAGTGATTAAGAGAGTCATCTGTTGTCAGCTTCTGGCCTCTATACAAATGCACATGCCTGCATGTGCACCCGTGTGCACCTGCACACACGCAAACATTATACACACAAAAAGTTGGTAACTGGTGCTGACAACTTACTGAGTGAGTATGTGTAACAGTTATGCTTACATGGCATTATTCCCTTAGTGTGTGCTTTCTCCTTTTTTGGGGTAAGTAGAACATGTCCTTGGGGTGACTCCTAATAGTGGGATCATCAGAATCTCCTGCATTGTTTGTATTAACATTCCATGTCTTAGGTAGAAATTGCTTTTTCTTATAGTGATCTAGCTGAGCTATTTGAGCTGTGTGATCCTAATGTTAAGGCAACATCGAGATACACAGCCAAGACCAGCTGTACGGGCTGTTATCACTCACTGTTCCCTCCATTTCCCTGCCAGCTTCTTCTCCCTCCCTCATTTCCTGTCTCCTTTTCTTTCTGTTTATATCTTGCCAGCCTCAGCTTTACTGGCTGTCAGAACCAGATTCAGTTAAATGTTCCTTGACTGCGACCTATTTCATATTAACGAATTAAATTGCTAAATTAAGTCTGCTAGTACAAGCCCTGGTGTGCTTGAGTCTCCAGGCAACATTGATTCAGCTCCCTTGCTTTGGTAGGTGGTACCCACTGGTGGTTTGGGGGTGGATGTGACCTCACGCCAACATACTTGAACCAAGAGGATGCTGTCCATTTTCATCGCACTCTAAAGGAAGCTTGTGATAAGCACGGGCCAGATATCTACCCCAAATTTAAAAAATGGTAAGCTGTTGATATCTTTGTTTGAATAGATGTGCCTGTGGGGCCCTATTTATATAAAGATCTTCCGAAGAACTCTTTCCAGGTTAAGGACTAGTCTACATGTTCAGCGTTAGTAAGTGGTGTCTCGGGAGACTTGTTCTATTAGACAGAGGACAAAAGCATCCAGAGTAGGCTGATGGCTACTTGTGCTGGCTCAGAAGGGTAAGCTTTAACACGTGTGAAGACGCTCTGTGACCATTTCCTCCTGCCTGCTTTGCCACAGCGGTGCAGGCCTTAGAGTCACCCCTTTAGATACTGAAAGAGACCTCAAGTTGTTTATGGCACTGTGCTTTTGGTGAATGGAGAGTCGAATCACAAGAGCTCAGGCTTGCACCCCAACTGCTGTCAGTGTTAGGAGACCCTCATCCTCTCCTGCCTGTAAAAGCAACAGTGCACCAGGGGTGGTATTACTTATTAGGGAGTACAGTAGCCATGCTGTACTCTTGCTGAAGTTCTTAGTGCTCCTTATCCTTTAGATTGACTTGTTTGAATTGCCTGGTTGCTCCACAGTTAAGAGTATGTGCATGTTCTACATGGGTAGTAGCTGCAGAAAATCTGGGCAAAGTTCTAGTTTCATAGTTGTGTAGAAAATAAAGACATTGCTGGTGTGAGTCAAGGAGAGTGCTGTGAACCTGAAGGCTCACATCTGTTTCCGTGTACCTCTCATCTTACCTCTTGGTCCATCATTTAACTCTGCCACGCGGTCTAGGTGTGATGACTACTTCTATATAGTGCATCGTGGAGAGCGGAGGGGCATCGGAGGCATCTTTTTCGATGATCTCAACGTTCCATCCAAGGAGGAAGCATTCCGCCTAGTTAAGACGTGTGCGGAAGCTGTGGTTCCTTCCTATGTCCCCATTGTGAAGAAGCACTGTGACGACTCATTCACCCCCCAGGACAAGCTGTGGCAGCAGCTGAGGAGAGGACGGTGAGTGACCGAAGAATACTTTCTAATTAGCCATATTAATCTACACTGTTAATTCTTATTAAGTAGATGAACAGTAAAAATAAATTTAATAGCATTGTATAAATAATCAACATCACAAAGCTTACTTGATTCATATATATATATTTGTGGTAGGCACATATTTCATGAGGTAAGTACTTGTGGCATTTAATTCTCTTCATTTCCTGATGGCAATTTCTATTCCTTCTGCTAAGATGAGGGCATCATTTAAGGTTCTTAAGATTTTTTTCTGCTTATAAATTTGTAGTCACACTTTAAAAAATTCATCTTAATGGGAGGAGGACCTTGTCCTTCCTCAGTGAGGGAACAGGACAGCCCTAGTTGACTTCCTAGGGGAGGCCTTAACCTCTCTGAGGAGTTGATGGGAGGGGGAGTGGGAGGGGAGGGGAGTCATAACTGGGGTTGTTATGCAAAAAAAATCAATAAATTAATTAAAAATTTATTTAAAATGTTTATGAAAGTGATTTTAGTACAAATAATTTATTTTTAAAGATATCCTTAGCTAGGAGGTAGTGGTGAATGCCTTTAATTCCAGAACTTGGGAGACAGAGGCAGGTGGATCTGTGGTATACATGGCGTCATCATTTTACTGATTATAAGACATCCTTACTATGTTAATTCCTTTGCCCAAGATTATACAGCAGGTCTGATAACGTCCCAGATGTGAAATTGGATTGTCCTGTATGTGCTTTTCACCCATCCTTATGCCCAGCCTCTGACTCTGGGTTGAACATGGTGAGCTCACAGCTAGTGAGATAGACTGTTTAGTCACAGTGTTCTCGCGAACCAGTTCACATCTCCGCTCTGTGGCTCCCTGTTTCTTTTGACTGTCTCAATTGCGCATGCACCATAAGTCACAGTCATGCATGAATTCTTTCAATTCGTGTTAATTCTCTCAGGCGCTTGTCTTTCAATTCGTGTTAATTCTCTCAGGCGCTTGAAACTTTGAGCCCTAAAGAGGGAAAACTGTACCTTGAAGAGGCCTTGAAGAAGTCAATTTAAATATCCCAAGTTTAACGATACATGTTTGTATTTTGCTTTCTGGGTTTGTTTTACTTAAATAATTGTATGCCCTGTTTGGTCTCCATGTAACAACTTGCAGTGAGAATTGATTGTTTTCTTTTAGAAATGTTTGAGCAATGCGTGTTTGACATCCTCCCTCCCCTACACACACACAGTTTATCAACCATCCCCTTCCCATTCTGTCTGTCTTTCCTCCCTCTCCCTTGGGTAGGCATGGGCCTGACTAGAGTAGGCAGGCACAGCATGGACATACTGACAAGTAGGGAAAGGGTTGCCAATTAAAACTCTGCTTCAGTATTGGGCATATTCAGTATGCAAAGTATGAAAGTTTTATGAATCCTCCTTAGGTGAAGTTTTTACCACTTCTTTGACAAAATGACTATATTTTTCTCCTTCATCCCCTGATGGCAGGGTACTCTGTGTATCCTTTCCCATCCGCTGTATTTTGAGTTAACAAATGTATGAAGTACTAGATTAATTCCTCCTGGCTCAGTAAGTCACTAATTGTCAAATAAAAGCTCTCTGTCACTCTTATCTCTGGGTTGGAAGATAGCAATGGGCTCTGGGGCTTAAGATAACCCCCAGCATCATTCTAAGGAAGCTCCTAGGTCAGTGACACCTAGTGGTCAGCACCGGCTTCAGTTCTTACCCTGTATCCTTTACAGCTCTCTTTCCCCTACCACCCCTAAAAAGGCTGTCCCTTTCAGGAGCCATTCAGATTCCCTTTTGACTTTATTTACACTCTTTTATTGTGCATCTCATCTAGTTGTTGTCTCGGTTACTGCCGTTCTCCTCTTAGACCTTGAATGTTAGTCTCCTAGTCATCTTTCCATAAGAAAATAGGAACTAAAATTTGAACTAACTTTTCCCTTTCTTATTTTTGGGAAAGGGAGGCATCAGGATAGAATTACGGCATTTCTCTACAGTCTGCGAGTTATCAGAACGGCAGCGATTAGATGCACAGAAAGCACTGGGAAGGTCAGGTTCAAGTGAAAGCTGCGAGAGTCAAGGCAGAGGTTGAGCAAGGAGGCATCATGGCTCAAAAAAGGAACAGAGGCATACTACACCATGTATCTTGAGAATTCCTATTTAACAGTCCTTGAGATAGGAGATACATCTTCAGCGCTACACCGTGCGCCTTGAGAATTCCTGTATAACATATAACAGTCCTTGAGATAGGTCTTCAAACGTGTTTTATGTGGAACATGTTGAAGAAAGGTGATGCCAGGAAGAAGGTTGCTGAGAGGGGAAATTCTTTCCCACAGATTCAGGAATGAGTTGATTTTAATTGCTTATCTTTTGAGACAGGCAGAGAATGAATAAAAGTAGCCATTTGTGCCTGAAAGCCAGTCAGTGAGGAAGATGGAGAGAGAAAGGAATCCATAGACACAGTTGCTTACATTGCTACAGGTCCTCTAAGAAACGTCCACACCAAGCTTGTCTGTCTTTCCAAAAGGATCCTCGAGGGGTTCTTTGTTTGATTGTTTTGTTGCCTTGCTTTGTTTTTGCTGCTGATGGACTTAAAGACAGCAACCTGTGCAGCAAATCTGAATGAGGGAAGTCTCCATTGCGAGTGGTTCCTAAGTGGTTCCTACTGAATCAGGAAGTGACTGGAAGGGAAATGGAGAAATTCATGCTTATGGATCATTCTGAATTCTTTTTTTAAAAATAATTTATTTACTTTTATTTCATCTGCATTGGTATTTTGCCTGCATGTATGTCTATGTGAGGGTGTCAGTACTTGAAGCTAGATGCAGCTGCTAGCTGTCATGTGGGTGCTGGAAATTGAACCTGAATCCTCTGGAAAAGCAGTCAGGCCTCTTGCCCGCTGAGCCAACTGTCTCTCCAGCCCTCATTCTGAATTCTTTAGGACAGTAGAAATTACACTTTTAAATTTGAAGAGGCTTTTGAATACCATGATGTTTAAGACAGAAACAGATATTTAGGTTAGGTGCATTTCAAATCTGTTTTCCTAATAGTGAGTAGAAAATTTGGACAATATATTGAACCTAACTTTAGTAGGTACCAAAGATATTTCCATAAAGATAAACAGAAAAGAGGATAAAACTAAGCATGGAACCACAAAGCACTAGCTTTTATAGTGGTGACTGAAAACAGAGGAGGAAGGAGTGGTCCCATCTCTGGAGATGCTGAGACGGACCCGGATCTGAGCTGGTAGTTGCTGTTAACAGATGGCTCCTTGCTTAGTGGTCGTGGTCCTTAGCTGTGGATGTTCAGCACTCCTAGTGCAGTGTTGTGAGGTCTGAAATGCCTTGGGCTGCAGTGAAGGCCCTGTTTCTTGCCTAATTGTTGTGCATGCCTCTTTCCAATTGTGTTTATTCACAACTGTTTATTCACAGCGAGTACATAACCTTCTTGATTTGTAATTGCTTTGTGTTGGGCACAATCTGTATCTATTGTTCAGCGGGTAGAATACCCTTTTATTTATGCTTCCTAGAGGAGATCGCCTCTGGGCTGCGAGCTGCTTCTGTGTGCTGGCTCCTAGTTGATAGAGGGTCTGGAGAAAAGCTCCCTCTCAGTGTTTTCTGGGGACTTCTGGAAGGCTATTGTTTTGTTTTCATTTACATTATTTTATTTGGAAATGTTTGTAATAGTACAGTGAAACTGAACTTCAGAGACCATGGATGTCATTAGCTTAGGCATCATCAGTTTATTATAAAAGGGAGGCATGGAAATTATTTCCATGGTGAATAGAGCATCAGTGAACAGGCAGGTTCATGTGACACCAGTTCAATAGTGATTCCAGTCCACGTACTTTCCAAGAATGTCACCATCTCTAAGTAACAAATAATCCTTGTTGTGTAGAACTACTTTAGTTATAGCCACATGTGGGGGTGACATCTGTCGGGGTCCAGTCTGGGTAGGGTAGGAGTGTGTGGATTAGATGTTCCAGGCTGGAGTGTGTGGATTAGAAATATTAGACAAGAGGAACAGAAATATGAAAGAAATAGACATAGCATAGTACTGGGAGGGTAGTCCAGTAAATACTGAATGCACCCACGTTTATTTCTTATTATCTTTAATACCCCAATCCACAAAAGGGGAAGAAAGCAAAAGACCTTTTTATCAGGATACAAGGAACAAAGCGATCACCACCTTGATATCCAAAACACCAACTAACCACACCCTAGGTCAAGATAGCCTGCTAGTAGCCTTGAGTTAAATCTCCTGTCAATAACCTTGAAAGAGCAAGCCTAGGCCTGAACTCTCTGACCTTTAGTTACGGTGGGATGGACCCACTTCTGTGGGCTCCCACACTTTGGTGCCTCCATATTCTGGGAGAAGAACTTTGTCTACAACTTTCACAGTGACTGGTTGAGCCTCTCAACCCTTACCTTTCGTGCCTGATCCCACTCCTGTTGCTTGCAATGCTTTTCCTTAAGACTTTTGTGGAAGCAGTTTACAGTTTCGGTGGCACTCCTTTCAACCAGTGCTTTCAACTTTCAACGAGAGGAAGAAACTTTGTGAAAGCTTGTTCAGTTGTACCGACTCTGCACTCAGGCTGCAAGGACAGTCCTGTGGGCCGGCTGGGGACACGTGGAAAAAAAACAAAACACCCTTATTGTTATTTGATGTTTTTATGACAGGTACGTAGAATTTAATCTGGTGTATGATCGGGGTACCAAGTTTGGCCTCTTTACTCCGGGATCCAGGATCGAAAGCATCTTGATGTCTTTACCTCTAACGGCCCGGTAAGGAGACAGTTCATTATAGTAATCACCCCCTCCGGTCCCTGTGTCCTACAGAATCTGCACATTAACCCCAACAGTGTCTTCCTACAGCTTCATGTGTTCTTGTCTTGCTGATGTTATAAGGAAATCATGGGTGGATAAGGCACATCGTATTGGGTTTTGTGAGAAGTGACAGGACAAACGTTAGCTCTGTGTGTGAGGACCTGGAGAGAACACAGGCGGCGGGAAGTGGTGCTTGAGGGTTTGAGGTTGATGTTGTTCACAGTGTTGTTTTGAAAGATACACATGTAAACATTAAGCTAATATCTACCTATGAATTATCCAAAGATCTATTCTAGCTTATAATCACAGTGTGTTTTGACTTTAGGATCTTAATATTAACCCAGATATACCTAAGAATTATGAAATCTAACTTCTTAAGTAGAATTTTTTATCTCCCCCCCCCCATTTTTTTAACAAGTGGGTTCAAGGCTGGGTAGGAACAGGGAAGTGGAGGTACAATGTATTCTTTTTACTCTTCATATTTTATTCCTCATCGGTTATATATGTCATTTATTGTTATTTTGATTACCCTTTGTTGCTTGTTTTGGATGTGTGTAGGTGGGAGTACATGCATTCACCCCCAGAGAATTCCAAGGAAGCCGAAATTCTGGAAGTACTGCGCCATCCGAAGGACTGGGTACATTGATGCAGCAGAACGTTGTCCTGGGGCCTGGTGAACACACGTGTGGTCTTCTTGCGCTGTTGCCACTGTGTGGCAGGCAATCCTTTGTGCCTTGCTGTCCCATGTTCCAGCCTTCTCCACTCTGGGCACTACCTCTGTGGCATGGCTTTGGATCTTTCCCAGTGCTGTGGGGTGAGGTGGCAATGATGGATGGTGATGTAAACATGCCAGATTCATTGGCTGTAAAACCCGTTTGTACTTTTAGAATCATGTTCTATGACCAGTTAATTTGTGTTGAGTCTCCAGGTCTGAAGATGAGGGAATGTAAGTACCAGGTATTTATGTTGGGTCTCCAGGTCGTAAGATAAGGGAATGTAAGTACCAAGTATTTATGTTCGGTCTCCAGGTCCTAAGATAAGGGAATGTAAGTACTATAATATGGACCAGGAAACTCTTCGTTTTGTTTGTTGCTCGAAGGTTTAGTTTTTGCCACCGAAATTTATCAGGGGATGCATTTTGTCTTCGTTAGTTCAGTCAGATTGGCCTTCTTGGTAATTTTTGAATGCAATTTGAAGCCTGGTGCTCAGGAGCAAAAGCAGGCAGATCTCTATGAGTTCAAGGCCAGTGTGGTCTACAGAGTGAGTTCCAGGACAGCTAGGGCTACACACAGATAAACCCTACCTTGAAAAACCAAAAAGTAACTTGAAGGAACATGTTTTCCTTTGTCATTTTAGAATTTTCTTTAATGTAATTTTCATGTGTCTTTCTCTATAGACCAGAATACTATAGAAATACTCATTTTTTATAAAGATAGTTATTTAGGAGCACTTGAAATTTTCTTAATCAGTTCCTGCATTATAATTCAATGATGACCTATTGTTTACAACTGTAAATGGCATTGTTTAAATAGGGAACATCTAAATGACGAGGGTTTTTTGTGGGATTATAATTTGCTGACATTAGGATTCTATGTATTTTTGGGCAAAAGCTTATATCCCTGGATTCTGATACGTAGAGTTTTATATTTCAGACATTTAGATATAGGAGTTTAGACTAAGAATGAATGAGAAACATTTTCCTTCTTTAATTAAAATGAATGGAGCTAATCTAACATGTGGGCATTTTATATTTCTTAAAAACAATTGAAGTTGTCCTACTTTTCAAATGAGAGATTTCTCAACTTTTATCTTTTCTCTTAAAAGTCATAGCAGATTTCTTAATGCATGGTTTATCTGTCTAATAATAGTAAGACTGCATCGTGTTATTTGATTCGCAATGTATTGAATTTGTAAGGTGCGGTATCTCATACATGTTTAAATATTATCCTGGAATATGTTGGATGTATGCGATTGTGCTTGACACTTTTAGGGTAAGAAAAATCTACAAATTCTTCCATATGTCTTAAAGAGATTCAAATAATAAATTTTATTTTGAAATAAGACAAGGATTTATATTTTTTATTTCATTGGAATGACTTGGGAATGCAAATAATTTTCAGTGCTAAAACTATAGTTCCTTATTACTAGGTGTTTTATGCAAGAGAAATTTAAGTTTTGTCTTTCATTTTATAAGCAATTTTGGTAAGAACAGACAAAAAACCAACTGAAATAGCAAATTAGCAGGTAAATGAATAAACAATTTGTGACTTATGCAAACATTGAAATACATTGAGTAGCAGAAAGGGATGCCACCTGAAAGTGCAACAGAGGATGGGGGTCAGGAGCACCACACCGACAGAAAGACACCAGACACGAAAAGAACATGCTGTCAGATACCACCTGTGAGAGCCAGACTGGGAAGACTTTATGCAGGGAAGAGGTTGGTGGCTGCTGCGGGCTGCAGGTGGGAAACTGATGGTGCTGGCTGTGCTGTGGCTGAGCTGCCGATGGTTATTAGACTCTATCCATTTATCAAGATCCATTGAACACAGCGTTACTGCAACATAGAATTTTCTTGTGTCTGTGGGTAATATTCCAGTGTAGATTATTTAGAAGAAAAACGTAAGAACAGATATTTAAATATACCTGTCTGGTTACCTTTTAAGAGCTAAAAATGTCAAGCCAAGCATATGGTTCAATGGTAGAGCTTGTCTAGCATCATAAAGCCCTAGGTTTTCCCAGAACTGAGGGGAGAGGGAATCACACAGATCTGTGGCTAATGTTGTTGTAGTTAAGGCTTGTGGGTGGCAGACACAAGACAAAGATGAAATTTTAAAATCCTGTGCATCTGTTTTGAATTCTTCAGTAACCACCTTGGAGCCATGCCTGGAAGACCAGTAACAATTGCAAACTTGAAGATCATTCTATTGTTTTTCAAAGAATTGCTCTTTCAAAATCTTATTGATATTATTTTGTGCTTACCAGATGAAGGTACACACCCGTGTAGTATAAACATTTAGCTACTATTGTCTTACACAGGCATGTTGCTGGTCATAAGGGTGTATCAGGAGAGATGTAAATATACAGGGACAAGTATCTAACTACTCTCCCACCACTGTGCGGTGTTTGCTTAGAGTAGTCTGATTTCTGTTACTGTGCTGAAATACCAAAGCCTGGGTATTTCATAAAGAAAGCTTTAGATTATTGTTTTGGATGCTGAAAAATTGAGGATCAGGCAGCCCCATTAGTGAGGGTCTTTTTGGCTGGGTCATAACATGGCAGGGAAGAGGGAAGGAAAGTGGTCATCTACAGTAGAGGTCAAGCATGTGCAGTAGAAATCCTTTATGATAATGAACTCTCATGAGAACTAACTTCTGAAGAATTAGCATTTATTCTATTCTCAGGGCAGTGTGCCCAGTGATCTGAGTACCTCCCACTAGGTGAGATCGCTTCAAAGTTCCACCACCTTGGTCCACAGAGAGGATCAAGTCTACATTGTGTGAATCTTCGGGAGCCAAGCAACAGTGGTCAGCTGTCTGGCATGTCCAGATCAGCCAGAGAATGTTCTGCAGGATGCAGCTTTTTGTGTGTCTGTTGTTAGGATTGAACAAGACACAACTCACCTGAAAGTTTGAAATGCAATGTATGAGCTTGGCTAGGATGACTCAAAGTTCCCTCCAGATTAGACAGTGGGTCCTGATGCCTGCTGGGGGCTCAGAACACATACTCCATGGGACAAGATGGAAGCAGCAGACTGGTTTTCTGATTTAACCTCCGAAGTTATGAATTGTTCCTTGTTCCATATTCTCCTGGTTACAATGAGTCCACATTCAAGGGGAAGTGAATTAGTTCCCCAAAGCCTGCTTGTCTCCCATCACTCTGGGTCCTTCGGAGTTCTTTATCTAGATCCCTCTGGCACCTCCATACTGAATATTTAAAGCAAGTCTTATAGAAAATCATAAATTAACCTGACAGTGAAGCCAGTCGATTGTTTGGCTGCTGTTGCTCTTTTGCTTCTTCTGTGTTTGTTTTATACACTTTACCTTCAGACTGTTTTCTGAGCATCTTCACTTGTACGACCTCAAGGCCTTCTGGAAATTGCTCTCGTTGCTTGGACTCTCTCATGCGCTTGTCTGTCATCCCTCTGTCTTGTTGAGATCTCCAAGAATCCTCCCCTGGAAACAGTCTCATCTGCTCATTCAACACATTTCTGATTTTTGTTATTACTGTTGTCACAGTTGTCATCCCATATAAGTTTTATTAAAAACGAAGTGTGTAAGATGGGGGCTTATTTGCATTATGAGTTATGAATGCCCTGTTAATTCTTTGTTTCCTGTGTTTTCATGGAACATTATGACATCAAACTTAAACATTGTATGATGAATCCTAATCCGTGAAAGCAGACTTCCAAGGGTCCACCTAGAAAAGCCCATTTAGAAATTGTGTTCCTGCCACAAATATTAGCAATGTATTTGAAAGCCCATATTCTAAAATTTAGTTCTTCCCAAAGAAATATACCTGTTAGGTGCTAATTTAATAAAGCCTAATCAGAACCTTTGAATTACTGAGGCTTAGGTGCTTACAAACGCTTGACTAATTCTCGTGTTCCCTGAATCCCAGTTACAATAGAGAACCTCATAGACCAGTTTCTATCAGTGGTGCTAAGCCAAGCCCACACTGAGGTATGCCAGCAGAGCAAGGTAATCAAACTGCATTCCATCTTCCCAGCAGAGTTCCTTTCAAGCCTGGAAATCAAACTCATTCAACTGGTATTTCAAAGTGTGTTTCACCTGCAGTCTCTTCCTCTTTCACACTTCAGAAACATGTTTTAACTTGAAGCTTGGCATGATTTTACCTGCCATATTCTCAACAAGGTTACCACAAAGCTGGCTGTAAGATGACAGTTGCCACATTGTCCTGTCTTGGATAACTTGCTTATAAAATGATTGGTGAGCTCTCCAGCTAAAGTTCACTTTAGTAGTAAGTTAACACACTTATAAATTAGTCACATGACTATTTTTCCATGTTCAGGTCTGACGAAGGCCACTCCATTGTTCAGTTGGGTAAGGCAGGAAGCCTTTTCCATGATCTGTTCCATCTGGAACAACCTCCTAACCACAAGTACAGTGTGTGTGAATGCAACCCAACTTACCAAGGTCTTGAAGTTTAGTTGTCGCTTAACTTTTAAAAGCAATAGGTTCAACAAATGTCCATTAAACTATTTTAATTATAGTATCTTCCACAATACAACTTAGCAGCTTGTGCTCAAGACAGTTTTTATTCTGTGTAATGCAGTCCCTCTTTTACCCTACTCAACATGAAGGAGTACTTAAAAATATCACAGTTCAGTGCTGGAGAGATGATTCAGCCATTAAGAACACTAGCTGCTCTTCCAGAGGACCCGAATTCAATCCCCAGCACCCACATGGCAGCTCACAACTGTCTGTACCTCCAATTCCAGATGATCTGACACCCTCACACAGACATACATGCAGGCGAAACAACAATGCACATAAATAAATAAATACAAAAAACACTGGACAAGGACCCACTTCCCTTACTTTAATAAGGAATGGGACATATGCCACCTCCCTTGTTAACAGCCAAAGGCAGTTTTCTCAGCTGACCCTGTGAATCTTGGTGCTCGATAAAGAGGTTGCTGTGGTATGTCATTAAATGTGAGGTCTATTAAACAGCAATGAATAGCTAGAACACATTAGGTGCCATTTACAAAATCGAGGGGAGTGTTTTGATGAGCTTAAAATGCACGCAAGCCATCCTTGCTAGGATTTAGAGATGGGAATGTCCAGCTCACAAGGGAAATTCAATCTAGAAGTGGAAATATACCTTATATACTTATATAACGATGGTAATTGAACAAGTGTAAGTGGATGAACTGCCCAAGAGCAGTTTAATAAGAAAGGAAGGGCAGAGAAGCAGGGCAGAGAAATGATCAAGGGAGGAAGTCCCAGGGGAGGACGTCAAGAAACAGCTTGTCTGAATGGAATAGGGAAGAGAGAGTTGAAAGGCCACGTGCAGTGTGACGGCAGCAGGGCGAGACCTTACAGCTGCTGTGTGTGAAGGAAGAGAAGACGAGATTGGAGCATACGCTCAGTGTCGACATGTTTGCCCAGCTTGGAATTAAATGAATCTGTTATTAGCAGCTGTAGTCCATTCGATAATGAGGTTTTCTTGGTACTAAAATCTAGGTCACAATGGTTTTCATTGACATGTGCGGTGTCTGCAGGTTCTTACTGTGCATAAACATGGCATTCTTGAAAGAACCAATAGGTGGAGCAGCTTTGCTCAAGAAATCTAATTCTTGGTTTTGGAGAGGGAGATAGAAGGGAGGAAAAATTGAAAATTGAGGAAGGAGGAGGAAGAGGGAGAAGAGGAGGGGGACAGAGAGATGAAGAATGTTCAGGAGAAGGAAGCAGAATAAATCCAGATGTGAGAGCCTTTGAAACTTGCGCTTCTTAAACTGTGCTTCTTTAGAAAGACTTTCTGAAGGAGCTGTTAGCAGCTCCACACAGTCTTCCTGCTGTTTCTGTCTTCTCACGCAGCTCCACCACATTCCGTGTCTCTCACAATTGTCAGGAACTGCGGCACCTGCCATGGACTACAGTTGGAAGAATGTTTCATGGCCAACACAGGATTCTTGTCAGAATTCCCATATCCTGAAGCTGACTTCGTGAGAAAATGTGTGCCTGCTTCTGAGAATGAACAAGGATAGTTTGACTTTCGAATAATAAACGATCTGGCAGAAATGCTGAAAGTCATTCATTCAAATAGGGATCTTCAAGGTATATTTCTGTACATCCACAGGGTGTGTTTGAAACTTCAGCAAGAAAAATAAAACATTGCTGATAACACTTCGAACTCTCTATTTTTGTGTGCAGTTATTTCCACTTTAAATCATTACACTAATTATTCACAGTTTAGAGGGCACTCATAGGTACTATCTAAAAGTTCAGAGAAATAAGGTAGAAAATAAAAATATAATATAACATAATACAACATAAAATAATATAATGTGGACATGTAATCCAAACTAAACTAGG